GCCCCTAGAAGAAACCTGGCCACAGCTTGGCACAGGTATTAGGGAGAGTAAGGGGACGGTGGAGAAATCAGGAAAATCCACACTTGCTGCTGCTTTTGGCAGCTATTTGCATCCAATTGCTCATTTCTGGAGACCCAGGAACAATGAAAGAGACTTCCAGAGAGGTTCAGAGAAGTCTATCATTTTGCAGAAGGGGCACTGAAATGTGTGCTACACCTGGGTCCATATCCGGTTCTCGTGGCCCTTGGGACAAAGGCTCTTTGCACTCCTTCCTGAGGCTTCGACGTGCTACCGGGCATCATGATACCACAGGGAAAGTGCCCTTGTCTCGTCATTCCAGGGAATGTGGGATCCAGGCCAACAGCCAGGACTCAAAGACCTCACTTCTAACACACCCACACCTTTCCCAGGGCTCGGCATGAACCCGCCTGATAAGGAGGGGTGCCATGAGGATCCCAGTGAAGATTTCATCACCTTGTTCTACAGCCAACACCACGGGCCAATAAATTCCTCAGTGAGGAAGTCCTTCTCAAGGACTAATCAAAGGCTCTGCTGCTGTTGTACACATTCATTTTCTTTCCTTGGCACTTCTGTGCAGGTAGACAAGAGCTGCTAGTTCCTGACCTCATACAAACTCTCATATGCCTTTGGCTTTCTTCCCTGAATGCTAAATCCCATGCTGGTACCTTGAGACATTTTCTAAATGCACCAGGTTGCACACTGTCACATCAGCTACTTTCCTGCAAATCATCTCCACCATGATTCCCCTACTACAGTGAAAAGCTGGAAACTATTGCAACTTCCTAACTCAGTGACTAGGTGTTGGGTGAGGTCTCTTGGAAAGAGGCTGCCAGGATGCTGAATAATCCCCAATACAGCCAAATCCCAATTGCAGGCAGTTGAACAAGCCTCTTCAGGACTATCTGTAGCCCATTCTCCTCTGAGCCCCTCCCTCCCATTTCATGGGACCTAACCCACCCTAGGCTACCCCCACGTCGTGCCTCTGAAAGGGGTCAGAGAAGGCAATGGTTTTTCCCGTCTCCTCCTTGCATTAGTTGAAATAACAAAATATAATCTCAGTGCATGGCTAATCCCCAAATGGTGCCTACACCTGGGCTACACATTCAGGACACGGTTTGTGACCCGCCATCCAGAGCTTCCTGGGCAGAACACAGAATCTCAACATCCTCCTGCCGACCCCACTTTCCTGGGCCCGTGTGGCCAAGGTGGAACACCCACTCAGCCAGCCACCCCCATCTCCAAGTACCTTTAGTTTCCTCCTGAAATTCTCCCCCATGGGTGAATGTGGGGTAGCAGAACCACCCCCACTATCCCAACGACCTTAGAAACAGCAAAATTGGTGTGGCCAGAGCAATTGGCCCCACCAGGGACTGACTGCATGGACTGGGCCTGTGCCAACTCAGTGTAGTCTCAGGAGTCTTAATTGAGCTACTACTAGTAGGTGTAAAGCCCTGGGCCAGGGGTGGTCAAGGATGTAGAGGCAGCCCTAGGACGCATCTCAAGGTTGACCAGCTGCCTGAGGGGATAGGCAGATGTAGGTGGAACAGCTTGATTATAACATGAATTTGAGTGAGGGTGTCTGTGTGGATGAGAGGGGGCAGTGAGAACAGTGGGGAGGCTCATGGGGCTGGTAGGGGTTCCTAAGAGCTGGGGGCCAGTGCTTCTGCACCTGGTGGACCAGGATGAAGGGAGCTTTGAAGGATGTACCCATGCACCCATCAGAGCTGCACCCAGCAAATGCACCTTTAATGGCAGCTCCCTGGTTCCCCCTCCATCAGGGAGTTACTTTAGGACAGTGTAGCTAAGGGCTTTCCTTGTAACACAGTCACCTGGGATGCCGTCCAGCTTTGATCCCTCCACCTGAGGGCATCAGAAGATGGCTACTTCATGAGGGGAAGTCCAAGGCTCCTGGGGTCCTGGGCAGGGCTCCCACTGGCAGGAGCACGGACATGAGCCAGCATGGGCCACTGAGGACAAAGGCAATGCTCTAGAGCAGGCAGAGCAATGAGAAGGAAGGAGACTGTCCTGACACTGTTGAGCTGCCATGCCAATCCCAAATACCCACCCGGGCTGGTGGCGAGAGAGAGAGAAATTTCCACCTTGTTTACACCACGCTACTGTTTGTCCCCTAAATTAATTGAATCACTCATGTCAGTCAGGTCTTTCACCACTGAACCAAGAAGACATTATTTCAATCAGACTCGTGCCTCTCCATCTACTATGTATACAGAGCCGGAGTGCAAAATGTGGCCTTCCATCCAGAGGGTCTGGCTCAGTCCCACCTTCCCTGCTCACCCCACCTAGGTTCCTTAACTGTGACACCTGAGGTCAGGCCACCCTTTGGACACCTATGTCTCCTGCCCTGAGCATGTCTTGTCCTTTATACTATGTATCTTGTCCTTCTAACTGTATGGTAAGGCCCTTGAAGGCAGAGGCCATGCTTCAGGTGAACCCAGGGCTTAGCACCAAGCCTCTACAAACACGCCCTGGCTGATGAATCTGTAGGAAACCCCTCCACAAACACCCTTGAAGTCTTCCTTGGATCTAAGCAGCTTCACAAAGCGTGGGGTGCAGCGTCCCCAGGACTCAGGCAAAGTAGCCTTCTCTTTCACCACAGCTGATCCCGACAACCCACAAGACACACACCTGAATCCTCAGGTGGCTGAGGCCGTGGTTGTCTCAGTGCCCTGGCTGTTCTTCTGCTTCTCCCCTCCACCCTTCCTCCCTCTGAGATGATCAGATGGAGGGACACTACATGGGGGCGGTGGCAGGGCCGATGGCCCCATGACGTGCAGGAGAGCCCTCCCCAAAAGGCCTCGTCCTCTGGGCACATCAGGGAAGTGAGACAGGTTTGTATTAACCAGACCCCATCTCCACCTTCCTGGGGCTCTTCCTCCATAAGGAACCTGTGTCTCAGTTCCACCTGCCAAGAAAAAGTCTAACTGAACTTTTATGATTTCTTCTTTAAATTCTGTTGCATTTCATCTCATCTAACCCCGCCTACCCCAAGCTAACTGCTAAGCTGCTCCCCAAAGGCGGGAATGGGGGTCAGCTGGTGCTTGTGGTGCCAGGGTGCCCGGTCCCACAGGCCCCCAGCCTTGCTCCATCAGCCTGTCGTCTGGCCAACTCCCCACCCACCATCCCCCAGGGGCATGAACCTGGCCATGAAAGGACGGCACAGGATGAGGGGGGCAAGCAGGAGCACGAGCCACTCTCAGCCCCTTTGAATCCTGTTGGGAGTGACAGGGGAATAAGACCAGAGGGAATCAGTGGCAAAAGGGGGCCCACAAAAGGTGATACGGGGTGGGCGAGGGGGGGGGAGAAGAGTCTGGAAGATTCCAGAACGAGGCACCTACTGACAAAATAACAGAGAGCTAGCTTTTTGGTCTCTCATTTATCAGCTGCTTGTGTCCCCCATCCAAGAACTTCAACTGTTCCCTGGAACCCTTTATCTGGTCCTTGAGTCCCCAGATCCAAGCCCACTTCTGCCGCTGAAGAGTTAAGGGAATCTTCATGTAAGAAACCCCAGGGTAACTGGCAATTGGTGCTCCTGATGTGCCAGGCCTTAAGGGCACTTAGGCCTTAGGGATTCAGCAAGGAAAACACGGGGTCCCTGACCCAGCGCTGGCAGTCTAGTGACAAGGATAAAAGTCCTCCATGGAAGGACACCTACTACAGTAAGGCAAGGTAAATGGCCAAATGGGGGAAGGGTACAGTGAGAGACCTGGGTTCAAGTCCCGGCTTGGTCAGGTCATTATACCTCCGTGGACCTCAGTTACAAAATGGCATGGAGAAGCAGAGGACCCTCAGAGGCCATTGAGTTTCCCGATTGTTATATGAGGAAGCTGAGGATGAAAAGAATTTCTACCAAGTTTGTGGCAGAGCAAAGAGGAGAACCTGGGTCTCGTGCCTCCTCCCCTACCCACAACCCCACCCCAGGGTTCTTGTTAATGGCCTCCTAGCCAAGAATCAATGAAACACACACAAACAACTTATAGTGTGAGAAGGAAGCTATCCCCACACACCATGGTGTAAAAAGCCCTGCAACCTAAGAAAGATCGGGAACGGAGGGCACTGACCATCTTCCCTTAGGACAGAATAGAGAGGAGTTGATTTAACCAGTGCCATGGGACAGAAGTCGGACACAAACAAGTGGGTCCAGGGCAATGTGTGAATGAAGCTGCTTTGAAATTCGGAGCAAGCGAGTGCAGGAGCCCAGAAAGGCTCCCCATTTATCTGTCTGGACAGGCACAGTGTGAGGCTGGCCTGACGGTTGGGGATGGATGGTTTTTTTGGCCTCTGGACACCTAAAGGGTACACAGGACCTGGGGGTCACCAGCACTGCCACCTCGTCCTTCCAGGCCGCACAGCCCACACCTGTGTGGTTACCCCCCAGGGGATCTCACAGGCAAGCAGCAGGGAGGGAAACAGAGGGTTCCAGCCAGGTCCAGCAAGCTGGAGGGCTGGGGTGGGGGGAACGGACCAGGTGCTGACACCTTATCCCCACATTCTGCCCCTCCGGGTCCTCTGCACACCTGGAGCAGAAGTGATCTCAAGTGACCAGCACCATAACCCTAGGGGTTCCCCTGTTTGTGGGATCCATTCCCAGTGCCAATGTGTGAGTCTCCAAGTTCATTCACGCCGTTACTTATACCATTCCAAGTATCACTTATCTACTCTCCTCCCAACGGGCATGCGCTTGTTTGCAGATGTTGACGCAAACATCATCTAGTGATGAAAAAACTCTTACAAGAAAAAAAAAAAATCTTAGGAACCTATGTATTCTGAGGAGGGGGGTGCTTCGCTGTGGGCTGGCGGTTCAGGGAGAACTTTCCGGAGAGAGGACTGCACCCTCCTCTCCTGTTTCCTGCTCTCTCCACATCATCACTTCCCAGGAGAGCCATCTCAGGCCAGCCCAGGAACCCAGACAGACAAGACACATTACAATCCCCCAAAGGAGCACAGAGCATGTTCCCTACCTGCTGTGCGGGGGCTCGCCCTCGGGAGAAGGAACAGCTGCTGTCCAGCTGTTCACTGCAGTCCGCTGTCCACTGCAGGGGAGAAAGGGGTGGTCAGTGATGGCTGGACACACAGGCTCGTCCTCACCCTATCCGGGCCCTCCAGGTATGGCCCTGCTCTTCAGCAGTAGGGTCAGGATAAAATCCTGCTTGACCATTTTCAGCGGCAAATCCTTCCCCACCCGCAGGTCCACGCTGGCATCTCCAAATTCCACCTTGCGGTGACCCTCTCTGGTGTATGCTTGGGGCAGGCAAAGTTACTCCCCTTCAGCTAAACCCACCAGAGTGATCAAGACCCAGCCGCGTTCCGGGGTCAACCACGCACGACACGGGGTAACTGTGTTTTGAACAAGCAGCTCCTCATCTGACCGCCCGACCTGGCTTTAGCCATGCCAGCCGTCCACAGTGTCAACGTTAGAGCTGGAGGTGAGGCATATACGTGTGGATCTTCCCAGATACCCAGCTCCAGCCCAGTCCCAGCACTCACCCCTCAAGAGCTCAGAGACCTGGGGTGCCCCAAAGTGTGGTCTGACAACCACTTGCGTGAAATTCCCCAAAACGTGCTGCGTGGGGGTCCCTGGGCCCCGCCCTCCACCCTCTGAAGCAGTTGGGTGAGACTGACCTTCTGCATTTTAACGCCCCTGAAGTCTGAGAGTTCCTGAAACTCATGGGTCTCCCAGGCTTCATTGCGTCATCTATAAAACGGGGCCAGCAAGGCTGGGTGACTGCAGGGTTGAAAGGAAGGACTTCTATAAACTTACAAAAACACCATCTAGATACGAAGCAGTAGTAACAGTACAGCTTTTCCTCTGTAAGGTGCCATCTAGCTGGACGGTGGTGTGGTTTTTTTTTTTTTTAATTTTTTTTTAACGTTTATTTATTTTTGAGACAGAGAGAG